TCTGGAGTCCCACGAGGCTGACGCTGTAGCAGAAATAGAGCTCACTTTTGGGTTGATTCACAAGTGTCAACAAATGACAGCTGCTCAGCTGCAGGACCCATGACCATGTTTTTCCCCTGGCTTCTCTCCACAAAAGCATGCTTCGTTCTGGTGGTGACACATGGCGATATGTCGAAAGGTACCCAGAAGCTGTGAGAGAGTCATAGTGCTAAAATGAAAAGAGCTGGAAAAGTGGAAGGTTTAATCTTTATAAGGCCTTCATGAACAGTGTAATGCTCCTTGGACTTTCATTTCCAGGAACTTCACTGGGGTCACTGATACTACAGCAGTGCTGTATAGGGCATAAATTGGTCTTTCATTTACATAGGGAGCACGGCCAAATAATGAATGAGGAAAATTAAGAAGGGAAGAGAGTCACTTTGTCACATTTACTATGCTTAGCCTTATCATACTTGGCTCTTGGTGCAGACAGCTCTCACTCTGAAAAAAGTTCCCTCATTAGCTGGCCCTGAAGCATTTGCAGAGCACCTGAATAATTGATAGAATGTATGGTTTTATTGATAGGAGGCATTAAATCCCCTCCTCACCAAACAACATTAGAGAGGAAGTAAAAAAGCAGTAAAAAATGGAGCAGCTATTTAAACAAAGAAAAGGGCAAGAAATTCTTATTATGCTTTCTGAACACGATAACACTGAATGAGGCAGAGTTTCCAAATATCCACTTCTAAAAGTCCTGCAAAGCAAATGGAGCCAGGGTGCTGTTGGGGTTACAGGCTTTTCAGAGGAAGTTTTACAAGGTCTACCTTTGAAAAAAACAATCACTACTAATTTTTCATTTTATACTTGGTAGCTTGATATAATGTCAACTCTGAGTTTGTCATGCTACTGCAGACCTTGTGTTCTGTTCTGCAAGCGAAATTATGGGAAAGGTGGCAAATGCTCAGGTAACAGTATCTATTACGTAGGCTTGTGTGGGGTAACTTCTGACAGTCTGCTCTGTTCTGCTTAGGATTAGTTCAAGATACTAGCTAGCAGAGATGATTCACAGGCTTTATCTAACCAAAGTTGGTATATATCAAGCAGATATTTATACCTGAAATAGCCACCCAAAACTCCAGCCTTGGTCAAAAATGAGAGACTGGCATTTTTAGGAAATGGTTCATTCGACTATAGTACAGATATCTACCTTCCACTTAGATGTGTTTTGTCCTAAAAATGCTTATTTCTTATCATTAATTTAAAAAACCACATGTACATAACGTTTTAAGTTAGGTGAGACAAAACCTTCTTCAAAAAAAAATCAGGGTCTATACTATCCTACATGTACACAGCACTGACTATGAGGCATGGGGCATGGACATGGTAGCTAAGGAAGCTGGAGATCCAGTATTGTTTCATGGGTACTTACCAAAACAGGTGATTTAAGCCTTTTAGTTGAGCAAATATACAAGTTTTCATGTTATACTATGATCTGGGGAAAAAACATAGCTCATAACACTATTTTTTAGTTTGGTGGAAGAACCTCCCAAAGCAATGGATGTGCCTATGATATCATGAAGTACTCAGTTTTGCAAACTCCTACGAGCATGTCACTCAGCAATATTTTCAACTGAAAATTAGATGTGAAAGTTTCCTTGTACAGTGCAAAGGAGAAATAAGAACCTAGGAATGAGATGGACACTAGAGCCTGCTGAGTGAAGAGTTTCCTGTGGAGATAAGTGAGAAATGGCTGAGGAGCTCCTAGAAAAAGACGTTTCATTGACGTATGAGACACCGCAGTAAGAAGCTACAGCATCTGGTAGGAAAGTGGTTGTAGCACTCGCCTGGAATGTGCAGATCAAAACCGTATCCTTTCTGCGCTCATCTCACTGCGGAAATTGTTCAAGCACCACGAAATACTCTGTGATAGGACCTTCTCAATCCCTGCATGTGTTTGGGGCACAAAGACAGAGAATGACTTCATATTCCACTGCTCAAGACTTGTATCTAGGAAGGGGAGACTCTGTTCCCAGTTCCCAAGCCCATGTATTTTTAAGTGTTTTCATACAAGGTGGAACAGCTTCAGTAAGGGTGGTTGAGAGGTCCATTTCAGGTCAGTCTGCGATCTGGTAGATGTGACTCTTTCCTAGTTGAAGGAAGACACAGGTTAAAGTCAGCTAAAGCAGACAGAGACCCTAAAATCCACTGACACTTTGCGTTGTGCATGCTTTAGACATCAAAGTGCTGGTCTAAATTCTGGGCACTCACTTTAGGACTTCTTTGGAAACGTGTGCCGAGGGAGGCCTTCCTAGGCTTGGTGTAATGGATCCACGTCATATTCCATGTGTAGGGGTGGGTAGAAGAAAGTCTGGCTTCAGAAAATTGCATGGGTTTTTAGCAGCATAATTCTGTACATACTGGGGATACATAGATAAAATCACATAAAGTCATTGGAAAACAAAGGGATCAGCTTTCATTCATTGCAGGACTTTTCCATTTATGTATTTTTAATGTGTTGGTGGAAGCAATTGCTTTTTCTTTTCTCATTTAAAGCTGTGCCATGGTACGGCAATGGCTAAATAATAAAACAAGCTACGTACCTGCCAAGTGTATCATGATCCTCTGATTCCAGCCCAGCAGGCTGGAGTTAAAATAATCCAGCTGGCTCAGCAATTGTGTGGATGCCTTTAATGGCAGCACTGTGTAAGTGGCAGAAGGCTAACTCAGGGCTTCCTTTATTATTTTGCCCTCCCTACTTTAAGCCCACTAGGACAGGTTTTGCACAGTCAGAAATGCTGATTCTTGTGGCTTCAGGTCCCTGCATTGTGCTGTCTCTGGCAGCACAGTCCAGCTGTTTATGCATGTCTAATATGTCCCCTAAGGGCATTTGTAAAGGAAAACAAGCTGCCCCTTCAAGGAAGGTAACAAACAATCTAAACTCAGCTGCATTTTACACAAATTACAGTGACTTGATTCCTACTCCACCTAAACCTGTAGCACGGAGTGTCTGGGACATTGTTGAGTTTTCACTGGGTTTCACAGCTGCTCAGGAAAGATGTAAATTATAATTTTTTTTATGTGTGTGAGAGAGAAATGCATATCTGGCTGTCTATCTAATTGAAAGGCACAGAATCATGGTGTCACCTTAGTCTGGTAAATACTCATCTTCCATCTCAGCTTATGCATGTTGTATCATGGGCATTGAAGTGTGGAGTAGTCTCAGCTACTGAAAAGTACGTTCCTTTGATGCAGGCTGAATAGCAGTACTTGGCTCCTCTCAAATGTCCAGCTCAATGTTCAGGATCTGCAGGATAGAGCTCTATATCCTTTCTGCCATGCTTTAAATCCCAGTTCCTCCACCGATATTGCTTGCTGGAGCACATAGTGCAGTATATTCTGTCTGACATTAACAAAAAATGTTCTACAGACTTCGAAAAGTGATGCTATTCAAGCACATGGTAAATGGGAGCAAAATCTACTGAAAGAGGCGTGCTTCCCTTCATCATGTAATGGTAGCCACAACCATATGAGCAAGGTAATTTTCAATAGTGTATGCAAAGGGTAGAGGTGGAGTTTTCCAAGGTGGAGTTTTCCAAGGTGGAGATTGGGTCTCCTAAATGTTAGTGTGTTAGATGCACAAAAGATCCTTTTCTGCTCTCTTTTCAGACCATCGTATTGAAATGTTTGGCCTGCAGGGTATTATTCAGATGTTAAATACCTTTGAATACAATTTTTCAGGGCTTAGGTACAATCCATTTTTCTTATCTTGATTCATTTGTACGGTGGTGCCATTTGAGGTGACCTTGGGTACCTGAGACATCTCCAAGGACTGGTTAGTATGATACTGGAGATTTGTGCTCTGCTGGATTAGGAAATGGAGGCTAGGTACCTAATGCTTTTATTTAGACAACTGAGTAAAGCCCCATGTGTCTATGCTTAGAGAGTGGTTCTACGCTCCTCTTTACAGACACAAAGATGAAGAAACGCTATTTGGGTGTCGTTCATCTATCCTAGAGAAGACATCTGAAACAGTTCAGACACATTGCATCCTAGAAATGCTTGTTCTTCGTTCTTTGATTTCTTTATATCCAAGTAGTTTAGGCAACTAGCTCACATGCACGTTGTAGACATGTAGTCAGATGATTTTAATTCCATGCTGGATGTAATACCTGATAAACAAAAAAGACAACCTGCTATTGCCTAATCATAAGATGTCTGTTTAAAAACTGCAAGAATACAAAGAAAGGCAGAAACCAAGTACAGCTATGGAGGACAATGTATATGTATAGTGTGTAGCTCCTTAATTGGCTACTGTTTGGCCCAGTGTGGGTAGGATGATAAAAATCTTGTGACATTGTAGTGCTGTAATATGTCTGATTTTATTGTGGACCAGTCAATTCAATCAGAATAGGCTTTTACTAGAACAGAGGCATCTGGTATTTAGGTATTTGGAGTAGATAATAACTATGAAGATTTATTTTTCTTATAGAGTTGTTGGATAAAGGTCAAGCAACTAAGATTGAATACTTAATTAGTAAAGTCATATCAACTCATAGGATACAGTACCCTGAGTTTACTTTGACATTATGGATACCAAAAATAGCTAATTAACCAGTATGGTAATTGGTTCATAAAAGATGGAAAAGGTGATAACTATAAACTTTCCAGAGTTGTTTTTCAATAGGTATTGTATCACACCCTGTATTCCTATTCTTTCTGATAAGTTGTGATTGTGACCATAAGAGCACTTGTAGTTTGTTAGACTAATCCTGAGTCTTTTCCTAAAGGCAGTAGCTCGTAATTTGTGTATTCTTTGTGAACAAGCATTTCCATTAATAATTGGATTATTTCTTTGTTATATGCCAACAAACTAACAAATGAAAATACAAAACAAGAAAAACCCCACGATATTGAACAACTGGAACTCATGCTGTGCAGAAATGTGTTTATTTTTTCACATCAATATCTTCAGCTTATGAAGAAGTTTGAAATATAACATGCTGTGTCCTATTTCTTTCTAGGTCTCCTATGTAAAAGCTATTGACATCTGGATGGCTGTGTGCCTTCTCTTTGTCTTTGCTGCATTACTGGAATATGCAGCAGTCAACTTTGTTTCACGGCAGCACAAGGAGTTTCTGAGGCTTCGAAGAAGGCAAAGAAGACAAAACAAGGTACAGCTGCTCTTTACTTGAGGTGACTGAGCCTGCCCTCAGAGTATGATGATGTGCAGTTGATTTCTCACCTCAGTTCTTCTTGCCCTTGCAGGGAGTCTCATTCTAAAGTTTCTTTTTGAGTGATTTACTCCTTGATAAAGAGATGATAACTGGTTGCTGGGTTTATTTGCAGTTTATGAACTTATTGATAAATGTCAGTAGATTGGTTGCTGATCCCAAGAATTTTATTCTCTTCTTGCAACTACTGAGGCAACTGTACCTGTACAAATATTGTGCTACTATGTGGCACCCACCAGTGAATAAGGAACCATTGGAAGCAATACAGAGAGAGGACCAATATTATTTCCTTGACATCATCCAGATGTGCTGACACCAGTACATGCCTGACACTTGTCTTTCCTAGTGCTACCCTAGCTAGTCATGCTAAAATGGGAGATTCCTTAGGCAATTCCATTGCAGAGTGATCGGTAGTTCTGCCCTCACTTTTAAACCACCAGTAACTGGTGTCTATCCCAGCTGAAATCAAGAAACGTGGCCACTTTAAAAAAAGAGAAGGATTAGGAGGATTTCTTCTCTAGAGCCTGCTATTTCACAGTTTGTTACTGGTACAAACTTCAAATTTTTAACTAAGGGCCTATTTGTGAGTATCATTGTCACACTGTCTTATACCAGTGTCGGAAATGTAGAAGAGAGGTTTGTTTTTGACCTAGATGTCTGTCCAGAAATGTTTTTAGGAAGTCTGTCCATCTTTCCTGATTTATTTCATTGGTAAATGGAAAGACAAGAATAGACATTAAGTTGAATTTTAGTCCAGTTATGACCATTCCCACAACTATAAAGGCTTCATCCTTCCTTTATCTATGCCACTGGTTTTCAGTATCAGGAAAAACTTTTAGGTTTACGCTGTGCATATGCATTTGCTAGATGAAGTAAATATGTGCTTGAGCTGCACGAGTGCTTCAAGCCACAAATAATAGTTTCCTTTACAAGAGGGATGACAACAATGGCACAGGGCATTTGTGTTTTGACAGATCTGTCTAATAAATGTTCTGTAGCTAATGTAATATTTGATGGATGCTCTGGGAAGCAATCCAGTGCTGTTCTCTGGTTTAATATTATTGTTAGGTGAATTGAGATTCCTGTTAAGATTAAATTACAGAAGAGAGCAGAAACTCTGCCCATCTGCAGGCACATTAGATGCATTGCCTCTGCAAACCTTTGTTTCCAAAACCAGCATGGCAGCAGCAGAAGCTGCTGTATGTGGTCTGTAATTTCTGGTTTTGAACATCTTCTTTAGAGATGAACAAGTAGGCAAGAAGCCACCATTGGTAAATAACAGTATTCAGTGGCATCATTCAAAAATTTGTGAGGTTTTTGGTCCATGGAAGTGGTCATTCATGTGCTGTGGGAATGATTATTCTGGTGACTGTTAAAAGAAAGTTATTTAAAAACCAAATCACCAAAAGACCTATGTTTACCCTAAGCCAGTCGGTACATGGATTCGTTGCAAAATGGGTAATGCCCTAATTAAATACAAGGAAATATTCCACTGGAGTAAGAGACACCTCTCCATTTGCACAGACTTGCTTTCCCTTTGCCTATGAATTTGTTTGCACTGATTTCAAAATAGGGAATAATAATACTAAGGCCACCTCTTTAGGAGGTGTTTGCATCTCTTTACTTGAGTTTGTCTCTCACTATTTTCTCAGTTTATTTTGCCTTGAAAGTGATACACATTGTTTTGCATGATGGTCTTCTCTAACTGAGCCATTCTTCTCTTTGCGTGTTGTGTATGTGTGTCGTCGTGTTACTGCTGTGCTATTCTCATTCTTGCTGCTGCTGTCTATGCTGACACTCTGGGGACAGGCACAGACTATGACTGTTGGGAATGAAAGCGTCGAGTCCGTACGGCGCATGAATGGCTTGCGGAGCAAAGAGTCATCAGCTTACGGGACAGTGAATCAGATCGGCAATTCAAGTTTGAGGGTAAAACTGTAGTGAGAAAGAGAAAACAAGAGAGGGTTTTAGTATGTGCAACGATGTCATAAATCAGCAAAATGGATGGTTTTGACGGCATCACTAGTAGTCTCTTGTATTCTCTTTGCTAAATGTCCCCACAAAATGCACAGTACTGTCCCCAGCATGAACAGCAGTTTCATGTCGTACGTTCTTGTGGCCCAGCCTTACGCTTGCTTTTTTCCATAGTTGGCTTGTGCCACCCCCATTCCAAATCTCGCAAATGCATGACTATTGGGCAGTCTGGTCCTATATAAATATAGGGAGAATGGGGGGGACAGGAGCGTAGGAAATGCCTTGAGACAGTAAATACGACATTGCGTCATCTTTCAGATGAGGGCATTCCAACAAAATTTGGTATGTACAATCAAATGCATTTTTATTAGTAGGGTATTTATTCCTGAACCGTCAACCTACAGTGTTCCTCCTTGTGATGTCCTGAGCCCTGCTTAGTGGAGCATGAATAGTTATGAATGAAAAAATGTATTTCATTGGTTTCTTTTTATTTGCTTGGAGAAGAGCCATGGGGCTGGAATCTTTTGCACAGTGTAACATGGAGTAGATCAGAAGCAATATGATAGCAGCTGATAGATCCAGATTACGGGTGAGTTGCGGAGGTAATAAAATCAGCGATGGAGAGAGAAATAAGCTTAGTGTGCAGCTCACTGCTTGGTACTGGTGGCTCAGAAATGAAATGTATTCATTTAAATAAAATGGGACCAGGATCTAAATCTTTCAGGACCTGATTTCCCAGAACAAAAACATTGCCTGAGCAGCTTTTGAGCTGTAATGGGCCTCTGACTTTGATCAAGCTCTGTAAAGTTATGTGATTATAAGATGCAGATGATTTCAGCGGATTTTGTACACTGTAAACGGAATTAGTAGCTTTCAAAATCAAAGTAAAAACCACAGTTCGCATTACACAGCAAAATTAGGATAGAGGGTTTGCAAGGCAATAAACTGTTCACTTTCAGAGCTATGGTATCAAGCAGTAGAAGAGACCCTTCATTTCTGGATACTTTCTATTGTAGAAAGAACCATTTTATACATATACAAAGCTGAGTATAAAAAGAAAAAAATTCAGGGTCTCTCTAGAAGATATGAGCAATTTTACTGTGCTGCCACTGGACAGTTGATGCCATACAACTACAAAACCAGTCCAAGTAAGTACTCAGCATTGCATGTCTTAGTGGTCACAAAGTGCTCGTAGTCCAGCTAAGGTCTGTGTAAGGTCCGGTTACCCTCTCTCTAAGGAAAGCTTGCAGAATCCTCTCTTCTGCTTTTGAATATTATGTATTACATATACAGTCGGGGCAATACACAGAGGGACCATGTTGCTGCAGTACTTGTGCTGCAGAGCTCTCCGAGCCCGAGCTGCACTGGTGTTGATTTCCCCTGGAGACCTTCCACTATAGAAGTGATGTGCACTTGAGGGGTGAACAGAGGAGAAATACCAAGTCGGAGGTTTTTTGAGCAACGCTACCATAGCTACAGCTCGGTACTTTTCTGTGCAAGAGAAATGTTTATGTGTGGAGGAGAACATAGCAACATCGCCCGTGGTGCCACAAGAAGCCTCACAAGCAGGGAGCTTGACTTGCTGAGCTATTGCTCACTGAACCAAGGGTTTATGGTGAATGCAAATCTAAAAGTCATAGTCAAGAGGAGACAGTATAAAAGAGGGGTGATTGAATATTTATACTGCATCATTCAGCACTAATCTGGGGAGAGAAAAAATAGCTGCTAAGTCATGCCTCACCAGGATTCCTGGATTTAGTAGCTAGATGTACAAAACAAGAAAAATATTGTTCTCAGTTTTGTAAGCTTATATCTCTGTCACCGCTCTCATTATTGCTTTTGCTGGGTCTGTTTCGTCTCAGTGCTGCAACCCTCAGAGCATCTCATGAAAGTACAGGACACCTTAAGAGACCATCAGATCTCTTAAGTCAAAGATCAGACTGGTTAGTGTGTCTCTAGGCAAGTCTGGGTTGTATCGTTGATGGTCCAGAAATTGTATTTACAGCTGAACCATTGACCTGTCCTTGCATTGGAAAAGATTGCACTATCAGGACCTGTTGCCATCTTCCACACAGAATAAATCCAAATAAATGTTTGTCCTAAAGATTCATGTAGTCTTTCTGCTGACAGTGAAATACACCCATCGGTAGCAATACTTCGCTGCTGAGAGAAATGGTTGCCTATTTGTTTTATGTCGTGATACTACTTTTTGCATAGAGTACAGGCTGCAGAAGCCATGAGTCTGATGGTGTTGAGGATGTAATACAGTTTCATTATATTAAAATCCAAATTTGCACAGTGCCAGATCTCCTGAAAGAAATAACTTCTTTTTAAAATATGATTTGTAATAATCAAACAAGATTTGCTTATTTTTCAAAGTGATGGGTTTCCAGGGAAGCAGAAAAACTCTGTTTACACAGGTTCAATCATCCCTTTTTGAAAACAGTAATTATTATGTTATATGATCAGTAGTCAAAATGAGTCACAGTACACTACTATGCATACCATCATCTCAAAGATGACTTCCTAAATTATGTATGTGATAGTTACCACTGTGACCAAGATTAGGGGCTAAGTTTGGGACCATTAGTGTTAAAAGCAATACTTTATAGCTTGAGCAAAAAACTGTGCAGCTGGAGGCTGTGACAGACTTTAATCCCATGTGCAGGGAACACAGAGCAATACAAATAACAATGCTGCAGCCGAGGGGGTTCACATGCATGCAGATTAGCAAAAGGAGGCACAAGTGGTGTTTTCAAATGAAAGAGCTGGGACTGAGACTAAGCAATCATAGCAGCAAAGGATAACTCTGCTAAGCAGAGATGGCAGCACCTGGTTGAGTGCTTCAGAGAACTGCTGATCTCTGGATGGAGCTGCTGGAGGCTAGGTGGGTACCCCAAGCACCCAAACAAAGTCAAGACAATACAATATTTCCATCTTTGGAAAGGAGAAGAGATATGCGTTGA